CAGTCAGGTTTTAGAGTCCATCATAGTACAGAAACCGCATTGGTGAAAGTCACCAACGATCTTCTCCTAGCCTCAGATAAAGGACTTGTCTCCATACTTGTCCTCTTAGATCTCAGTGCTGCTTTTGACACCGTTGATCATAGCATCTTGCTGCAGAGATTTGAACATGTTATTGGGATTAAGGGAACTGCACTAAGTTGGTTCAAATCTCATTTATCAGAAAGATTTCAATTTGTTCATGTTAATGATGAATCTTCCACACAGACCGAAGTTTGTCAGGGTGTTCCACAAGGCTCTGTGTTAGGTCCAATTCCCTTCACTTTATACATGCTCCCTTTAGGCAATATTATCAGGAAGCACAACATAAATTTCCATTGCTATGCAGATGATACTCAGTTATATTTGTCTATGAAGCCAAATGAATCAGATCAGCTGGTCAAACTCCGAGAGTGTCTTAAAGGCATAAGGGCCTGGATGACCTGTAACTTCTGACGTCTAAACTCTGACAAAACTGATGTCATTGTGCTTGGGCCTGAAAACCTCAGAAATCTGCTATCCAATCATATAGTTACTTCAAATGACATAGCTCTTGCCTCCAGTACTACTGTGAGGAACCTTGGAGTCATCTTTGATCAGGATATGTCCTTTAAATCACACATAAACCAAGTCTCTAGAACTGCCTTCTTTCACCTGCACAATATTGCAAAAATCAGGAGCATCCTGTCTCAAAGTGATGCTGAAAAACTGGTCCATGCATTTGTTACTTCCAGGCTGGACTACTGTAACTCCTTACTATCAGGATATCCCAATAATTCCCTACAAAGCTTCCAATTAATCCAAAATGCTGCAGCAAGAGCACTGACAAGAACTAGCAAGAGAGATCATATTTCTCCCATATTAGCTTCTCTCCACTGGCTCCCTGTAAAATTCAAAATAAAATTTAAAATCCTTCTCCTAACATACAAAGCCCTTAATGACAAGGCTCCATCGTATCTTAAAGACCTCATAGAGCCTTATCATCCTAACAGAGCACTTCACTCTCAGAGTGCAGGTTTACTTGTGGTTCCTAGAGTCCACAGAAGCAGAATAGGAGGCAGAGCCTTTAGCTATCAAGCTCCTCTCCTATGGAACCAACTCCCAGTCTCAGTTCAGGAGGCGGACACCCTCTGGGTAAGTGTGGCTTCCTTCTGGCATGGAGCAGTGAGGGAATTAGCAGAGCAAGCCAGACAACAGATCAAAGGATGCAGAGGACCGTCAGGACAGATGAGACAAACTAACGAAACACCAAATAAACATAGAGCCAAAACACTAGCAAACACAGGGCAAACACAGGGTGAGTACTGTACCTTATCATCCCTGTACCTTTCTGCAGGTTGCCCTGGTTCTGGAGCTCTATGTATCTGATGAGCAGTCACCGGCCACATCAACCTGACCCGTGTTTGATTGTTTGTTGTGTCGTTGCTTTTTTTCTTCTCTCTTTCCTCTATCCACTCACCCCAACCGGTCGAGGCAGAAGGCCGCCCACCAAGAGCCGGGGTCTGTCGGAGGTGTCAGGTTTGCTCGGCTGCTCCTGCCCCTCTCATCTCCCTTTCTTTGTTTTTTGGTCTGTGATCACATCACCTTGCACACCTGCCACTCATTTCCTTAATTTGACACCAGCTGCTTTCACTCAGTCCTTTACCTTATTTATACCTGACTCACTTTTCACTCCCTTGCCAGTTCATTTTTGCTTTCTGCCCAACTACCAGCGCTATTCCTTTCTTGCTATCATCGGTTTTGTTTTTATTCAGTCTGGTTGCCCTGACTTTTCTCCTCGGTCATTCTCCACGGACAGTTACCCTGGCACCATTATCCTCACCACCCGTCAAACCTCCACCAGCCAGGTTGGTACACAGTCATCGGACTCCATCCACACACCATCCCTGTCTACTCTGTTCTCCCCAGCCATCTATAACCCACCGACCAGACCGGAAGTGACCCTAGCGTCCGTAGCTCAGCCTTCCTCATCATATCCACCCATCATCTGTTGTTTTCCTTGCTAGCTGATCATCACCCGGTCCTACATTACATAGTTGGTTTGCCTTTACGTTTGCTTTTACACATCACTGGTTTATATTGTACAGCACTATTAAATTGCTTGCACTGAAGTCAGCCCTCTGGGTCTGTCTTTCTTCACTCACTCACCTCCGACAAGTGAGTGAATCTAACAGGTTTCTTCCGTTAAAGGGAGTTTTTCCTCCCCACTGTCGCCAAGTGCTTGCTCAAGAGGGATTTGTTGGGTTTTCCCTCTGTAATAATATTGATAACAGTAAGGTCTAAACCTTACTTTGTAAAGTGTCCTGAGATGCCTTTTGTTGTGATTTGGCACTATACAAATAACATTTTATTTGATTTTTGAAGTTCACTGGGGAAAATACTCTTACCCTATTTTTGTGTATTTATGTAACTTTATTTTAAGACCAAGTGTTCATTCTTTTGACTCCTTACCTGACTGAGAGCTGCACAAGAATTCCTTTATGCCTAGACTGTCCGTTTATGCATATACGACAAATAAAAATCTTGACTTGATTAACAGAAGGTTGCCAAAAGAGAAACATTGTTTCCATTAACTCAAACTTAAGTAAAGAATTTATTTTGAAAATCACAAGCAGAAGTCCTCAATGTGTCTCACTTGACAATACTCCATAGCAAATGTCGATGAAAATATGTATTTATCTCTTTGTCAATCACCAGAAACAACAAACTACACTTACGTTATCGGGTGTGGAGAATATTCCATAAGGGAGATTGTGGAAGGAGAAATCAGAAGTTGCATCTACTTTAATAAAGGACATCTTGTCTTTGGCAGTGATATTCCACTCAACCTCACAGAGCTACTGGATGACTGAACAGGGCAAGAAGCCCTTCCAGATGTTAAACTTTGGACAGGCCTGCCTCCTACTGCATGGCCAATCACATGCTGCCTAAAGTATCCACCCTGTTCCAGACCTCTGGAAGTTAATGCAAACCAGCCTGCTAAATGACTATGCAAAAATATAGTTTACATAGCTTCTGACCAGTTTGAAAGGAACGAGAGCAAGCAAGTATTTTAAAAAGATTTAAAGGAAATAAGGGTGAAATGTTTAGTTTAAGGGATAAAATAACATTGTGAAAGATATACACACACACACACACACACACACACACATACATATATATATACATACACACACACACACATACACACTGTAAGTCGGGCAGCAAGAAGACAGAACTTCAGAGTCTGAAGTATGGGCAAAAATCTTTGAATGAAATGGGTTGACAATAAATGGAAGTGAATGCATCTAATATAGCTCAATCAACCTAATCTAGTCAGTTATAAAGTTCTATGATAACAGCATGTGTAAGACAAGTCTTGACATTTTTCTTAAAGGCCAGTATGGAGGCAATTTTTGGTTTGACTCTTTATGCATTAAACTGTAACTTAGTATACATCAGAATGAGTTGAACTTTGTCACACTGAGTATATGAACTTTCAGCTTTTCTGCACAACAACTAGATGTAGCGTAACCTGTGCTTGAATGATCTACTCCCTCATTAACGTGTCTCTCTGTACCAGGATGAGGACCTCTGTCTAATGAGAAGCACATGTGCATGAACGTTATCAGTCCACATTCCTTTCTTGTAATGCTCCCAAACCCTGTGTAAAGCTCATATACTGTATATGACTGGGTTGCCTCTGTTCTGGGAGCCTCTAACAGTCCTCCGAGTGCTGTTGTAGACTGTTCCTATTTCTTGCAGGAAATAAAGTACATATCTATCTCAATTCTTTTTATTTCACACTCACTAAAGGTTGTTCAGTTTAGTACAAGTAAACAGGGATTTTTTTTCCATCACACGACACACACTAAAGGGTGCAAAGTAACTCTGCTGCTGTGACTTGACTGTCATATACTGTAGGCGTCCAATAATCTCATGGTTTCAGTAAGCTTCAACACAAACAAGGGGCAACACAAATATCTGCAAAATTCATTTGAAAGGGCTGACATCAGCAAAATGTACTTATATCTTTTCTCATTTAATGGAGCACATCGAGTATACCATTCATAGAAAAAATGTGTAAAGGAGCAGCATGTGCAGCTTCCATCAATGTAGAGGTGTGAACCCAATTAAAAAGGCCAGTACTTGGAGACAACAGAGTGAAGTTTAATTGTCCGCGTGGGAGAGCTCAGGGGCCCGTTTCAGAAAGGAGGTTTAACAAACTCAGAGTTCAAACCTGAACTCTGAGTTGACTTACACAGAGTTGGAAAACTTGGAGTTTTTGGTTTCAGAACAGCTGAAAAGAGTTGGAAAAGAGTTGACTCAGAGTTAGGCGCGTGCAGCGCGACTATAAAAAGCCCTGAACAATGGAGTGAAGACATTACGAGTCACCATGGCAACAGGACCAAGCAAAAATAGGTCTGCGTTTTTTCCCCAACAGAAATGGATGTGCTACTACAAACATATAGTGACTACAAGCCCATATTTCGTAAAAAAAAAGCAACACGGCTGCAGCAGAGAGAGAGTTAGCTTGGGGGAAAATAGCTGCTGAGTTAATGTGTATGTTTACATTTTAATCATACAGTGTTCGGTGTAAGTAATTACTAAATAATGTTAGTAATGTTATTATTTGTCACTTGTAAAGTAAGGAATGGTTCTTAATTCTTCAATAATTTAATGAGTAACTTCAGTAATTGCATAAAATACCGATTTTTGTACGAATTAAAAGTGCAGTTTTATGTCTACCCTTTCTTAAAATTCCTATTGTGGTTGATATGGGATTTGTAAAGTAATGATTAATAAATAATCCAATACGTTTTATGGAGAGTAATTATTACATTAATCAAAATACTTTTTTAAAATTGACCCAACACTGATGTAATAATATAAGAATTGAATTTTAATTTTCATGTAGGTGCATTGATGGGAATATGTGTGCCATCAATGCATCCAACCGCATTAGGAAATCCTGAAGGGGATTCTAATTATTAGTTTATTTCCAGAGGTCACAGCAAGATGTTATTAACTGATCATCATTTTTCAGATTAGCCTTACTGAAACAAATTCAATACCACTAACCTGCAATCCTGTGAAACTCCTCTTTAATGACTCTGAGGGGTTTGTGCCCAGGAAACACAACAAAAATTCACAGAAAGCGCTTGAGGGTGAGGCACACTTTCCGAACTATTCTACATACAGTGGCCTTACTAATGTGCTCTGCATCCCCGATGTTATAAAGAAAACTGCAGTTTGCAACAAATCGTAACGTAAATTCAATTCCCTGCGAATTAATACAGCCTCCTCATCTACAGGATCCTCTATAAATGGACATGCTATTTTGGTCTCTGCGTGACAGAAACATGTGCAATCTATGAATGTACTGAAAGATTAAATGAGGTAGGCCTATTTAAACACCTTTCACTTTAAAAAGGGGCGGAGACCGGAGGAAATGCTGGGTATCCCGAACAAAACCTGCTCCCAACCAGGTTAGGTTCACAGAGTAAGTTGCCATAGTAACTAACTCTGAGTTTAGATTACCTCTCTTTTTGAAACGGGTTTAATTTACCTCCGTTTCTGGAACCGAAAACTCAGAGTTTTTCTCATTTCGGGGTTAACAAACTCAGTTTCAACAAAACTTCCTTCTTGAAACGGGTCCCAGGTGAAGGAGAAACAGTCAAACAGGCAGAGAGGGCAAGGAAGAATTTTTGGTAGGTAGTTAGGCAGGGTGTCGATAACAGGCGTAGCAGTCCAACAATAGGGGCAAGGCAGAAATTGTTAGTCAGTTAAACAGGCAAGGTTTTGTTCTCAGAATAACAGGCACTGGAATAAAGGCTGGAAAGTCTAGGCTAGGCAAAGAACAATCTGGCAGCTCCCCACATGGTGAGGAGCTGCTATATACTGAGGTAAACAGGTGTGAGTGATTGAACAGCAGGTGAAGGCACTTTAGAGTGGTAAAGTGCCTGAGAGTCAGGGTGAGCTGGGGATGGGAAGCCAGCGGGGTAGGATCATGACAGAATGAAGACTTTAAAGAAATGTCAGGTGACATTTAAAGGCAGTCATGTTTTTTTAATCCTTTAATGAAAGAAAGGCTACATTTACATTGCAGGCCTTTCACAGCAGTGGAGGCCTACACTGGGGGTGACTGCGCTGGATGGCAAGTATACAAAGCACACAGTTGTCACATTAGAGACCAGAGGCCTGTATCACCAAGTGAGTTCATCTTATTCTGGCTCTCTTGGGGTTATCTAGCTTCACTGAGCATAACATTGGTGATCCTAGATACCGGTACCACGAAGCCTGTTATCAACTGGCTCTGTTAAATCTGAGTTTTCTTATCAGGCTACAAGCGCTCTTCATGCGAAAGAGACCAAGTTGTTAAATAGAAGCGACAGCAGCAGTGAATGAAGTAGGCCACTGAGAATAATATGAGATGGAGCATGATACCTGCAAGGAACTTGGTTATAGACAGAGCAGAGAATGATGTTACAGTGGGTGAACTGTAAATAATAGTCGCATAACTAGAACAGAATAAGAAACTCTAGAAATCAGTTTCAAATATTTAGGACAGACTGAGAATATACCGTACATTAGCTCAGTATTATGTTAAAGGCTTTATTCACAGAGTATCTTTTGTTTTATGAAGACAAAAAGTCCAGCAGTTTGTGCTGCCAGAGTGGAGAAGTCCTCTCTTCTCTGGGGAGGAGCTACACCTCAGGTCACATGTTCATTTATAATCACGGGAAATATTTAACAGAGCATGAATTATTTTTCTCCTCAAGTTATTCAGAGCTGCAGTGATGGAGACTGTAAAAACATAGACAGTTAGGAATTCAGTCTTTAATCAAATAATCTTCTGCATTTAAAATACAGTGCTGATCATCATGAAGGCTGCAGACTCCCTCAGTCTGATAGAAATCTGGAAAGTTTGAAACAGTGCAATGATATGACTGCTCTACAGAAATATCTATTTAATACTTATCACATCAGTGTAGACTCTGACCCTGTCATGATCCAGTAGGAGTAATCGCTCACTTTTTCGAGTGATCTGATTGGATCCTCTGAAGTTAAGCTGCTCCAGACCAGGTTAACTGTGCAGGTTACTGTGGTGATCTAGCGTGATAAAAAGTGAGTTAGCTTCAGCTTCGTGGTACTGGAAAACCTGAGCTGAGCCCAGAGTTCGCTGGATAAGCTACTAATCTCCTGTTTAAAAGAAAATGAAAAATAGCACATTAATAACAAACAAGAAAATCAAATCAAATTTATTTATATAGCACTTTAAAAGTAACATCCAGTTGACCAAAGCACATAAACAGACATACAGATGCCCTGAACATAACATGGAATAAATTAAATCATTGGGTCATGGGGTTGTTGTGTAGCGAGAGAGCACATGATGGCTCTTTGCTGTCTGATAATGTACCAATGGTCACTAATAATACATTAAAACCTTCTTCTTTGAAAAAACACTGTACCACACCCTAGATCTATTAAAATGTGTATGTAGATAGAGGCACAATCTAAATGTGTGTTGTGGTTTTGAAACTTTACATGTTCCCTTGTTTGAGGTTTGGTAATTTACATTGTTATTCCAGATGTTGGTGTATGCAGCTCTGAAAAAACACGTGCTCACTGTGGATTGCTGAAAGCATGCAGGTCAACCCTAGTAAATCAGAATGGCCTCTTGCTTCAATACAGACATAAAAACACACAAATAACCCTAAAGTTTTGAACTATGAAACTTGGAGTTAGCTACTTTAGCCCTTAGATTCAAGAATCATAAATACTGATAACGCCACTTTGTCGTTGTAATGTATACTGTGGGATGAGCTCTGGTGGGGATATATGAACATGACCTGAATCTGGCTGAGACAGGATTAATTTGTTACATTTGAACAAACAAGAATACACTACAAGTCAATTGCTTTAATTCCTCCTTCATATTCTTTAAGCAAAGCATTCTAAAATATGATGTCCATTTCTCCAGATGAAATTGAAATTTTATTTGCTTCTTTTATCATTTTTGGTGATACGGCTAAGGAGTATGCCTGGTTATTAATCGAGATCAGTGGTTACAAACTACAAGTGAGATAATTTTTTTTCTCCCTCGTGTCCCTTCCCGGACCCCGTATCACACAGCTATTGACCTATTTACAGTTAGCAAAGGAAGAATGGCCGCTTTGCGAGCTGCAAAACAAGCGCTGAGAAAGCAAATAAAGCTACGGGTTGCAGCGCTGAGTGACAGGGAGAAACGACGGCAGTCTCTAGTCGTTTCACAGAAGGTAATAGACGCACGATGGTAAAGTCATAACAGACCCCAGTAAATAACGTGCCTCCAGTTTACTACTTTGGATATGAATGTTGAGTGTGGCCAAACACATTTTATGACATCGTTGTTTTAGTCTATCAATTCGGCGTGCGTCCAGTATAACACAAGCCTTTTACTTAAGTAAAATAGCGGCTTTTCTTCGGTCTTCCAGTAAAACAAGACCAGTAGTGTCATACAACGTTCAGCGTGCGCACTTGGTTGAAATAAGGCAATTTGCCGAATAGAAACGTTAATCCAGGTACCCAAACCTTAGTTCGTAGGTCGTAGCAGTTAAAGTTTGTAACTTCTGATGATCACGTAGCTGATTTGGTGCGAGCTGTAGACCGAGACATCAGGTCATACAAGGGAAAGCGCAGGTGCAACTGCATTAATAATGAGTAAGTGTGTCAGTAATCATACCACAATAGGCTGTCAGCACTTTAATTATTGTACATTATTAAGTTCATCTGTGTTTGACAAAAGTATGTCTATAGGCCTACATATTACTACTATTAATAATAACCATAATCATAATTTTACATAATAGTCAACACTTTGCTGTAAACATAGAAAAAAAAATCAACTGGACTTGGTTTTAGGTCGAAGACGTTTCACCTCTCATCCAAGAGGCTTCATCAGTTCTGCCCAACTGGGTTGAGCCGGAGATATTTATCTCCATCTGTGGTGTTTCAGTCCTTTGAAGGCCAACAATGTCCCCTATCGACTGAGTCGTTATAGCCCAGTATCGGTGAGAGTTTTTACCTGTCTGAATCCTCCCCTGTGGGCCGATGCCTATTGTCCTGGTGGGTATGTTTGGGCAGAGATCTCAAAATGTAGATGGATGACAAGTTGTGTCTTAGTCCACCACCTCTATTTAGTGAGGGGTGTTCTGTATTTACAAAAATAGCTTCCTTGACTCCTCTCTCAAACCAGTGATGTTCTCTGGAGAGGATCTGGACTTCATTGTCCTCAAAAGAATGTCCTTTGTCCTTCTGGTGGAGGTGGACTGTTGACTGATGAAGCCTCTTGGATGAGAAGTGAAACGTCTTCGACTGAAAACCAAGTCCAGTTGATTTTTTTCTACGTTTTCAGCTTACTATGACCTGGATGACTGCATATATAAAAACCTGCATATATAAGAGCATTATTTCAACAGAAATACAAGTGGGCTGCGTGTCTCGTTATTTCGACAAGTCCATATGGCAGCCCGACGTCAGATATTGTCATTTTAAATAGGCCGTCATGAAATGTCTTTATTGATTTTTAAATGTTCAGAAATATGTTCCTGTCACTCTTGCATTTGAATAGTGATGTTAATGTGGTTGAAGCCATCATGCCAGCTGATTTTCTGAAAGACTAAGATTCAAAATTACTGCTGTGTGGTTATATGACACACAGTGTAGATACTGGCTTTCATCAGAATTAATTTGACAGTTCTAGGTGAAAGGTTATCCAATCAGAGGCATTGTCCCGCCTCCACGCAAATCAGGAATCACCCTCCTGCCACTCCTGAGAGCGCTAGAGAAGACAAAAGTTACGAATTAGGCGCTTCTCCTCAGAGAGCAAAATGCGAAAGGCAGCTAAGTTAGAAACTTTCAGAGTAAGCCGCGCACTGCAGGAAAACATTTATGAAGAATATGGTGACTTACCCGGTTTGCTGGGATTGGCGACGCTTTTTCGCTGCTTAGTCTCTCGATGGCGTAGAGGCTTTTTAAAGCACCTTAAGGACAAGGATTTGATATTTATAAAGTGGATACATCTGGATTATGTGTGTGAAAGTAATTGGGAGTGTTTACAATACAGTGAAACCCCACCATCTACTTTTGGAGAAGGAGAATGCATCTAGAAGGATGCTGCTGCTGCTTGTACAATGGATGTGAAGAACACTTTTCCTGTTGTTGCGGTGGTTTGCCTTTTTTTTTGCTCCAGTTTCAGCCAAGAACTCAATCCCAAATGCAGGAATGTATGCAAAGCACCTGGGTAAGCATCAGTGCAAAAGAAAATAAGATTCATTCTGCTGGCTGTTAATGTACGCCAGCTTGTTTCTAAGTTCTCCTTGTGATATTTTGGACTCATTCTCCCTTAGTTTAGGACACAGCTTTATTTTAAATAGTTCAGTCAGAGTTTAAATTGTGTGAAAAACAAGTGATATAATCACACCCTTGTTTGCTTGATGAAAATTTGTTTTAAAATTGATCCAATTACATTGAAACAACAAACTACATTGCGTTGGGGGAAGTAGCTTTTCCTCTTCATTGTAAGATTATTTTAACTGTTAGACTAAAGGCAAGTTTTTAAGTTGATAACTCATAAAAATTATGTTGCTCCAACTGGCTTTACCATATTATTTTAAAGCAACTTTATATGTTGTCTAGTCAATGTATACAAAATTTTAAATATCAACCATTTTTAAAATTAAGTGGCTCCAAATAGATTTTTTTTCTCTGTAGGGTAGTTTTGTTTTTGTTAAATGTAGTAGCTTTTAAGAAAGACATTAGTTCAACCACCTTTTTTTTCAACTGCAGCTGAGTATTTGAACAAAATATATTTAAATCTTGCAAATAAAAAAACTCAAACTACAACTGCTCCTCAAATTATAAATAAAGAATCTGGCCATCACAGCAAAGCTAGGCAAATCTC